CCCGGCGCGGCTGGCTGGTCGCGGCTGCCCCAGAGCCGCCGGGGGAGGGGGAGGGGGCCCAGGCGGCAGGATGCTGCCGGGGGGAAGGGGCAGGGAGCCCCTGCTGCCCGGGGCCACTGGCGAGGGCTGGGGACACTCCCCCCCCCAGGGCGCTATTTTGCCTCCACCTGCACAAGCCGTCCTCCTCGCAGTAGCCCACTGGATCCTGCCTGCCTCTTTCTAGCCTCTGGGAGAGGGGTGGGGTGCGACCCATGGGGCAGTCTGCGAGCCCCTCCGCCAAGCTGGGGGGTTCATGCCCCACAACCCTTAAGGGGCAAAGGCCGTGGCAGCTCGGCTGAGACACTCCCCCCACACACCTGCGGGCTGCCTGACACCGGGACACTTTGGAGGCGATTGTCTTCCTCCGGCTCCGCGGGAACAAGGAGCTGGGAGGATGGATCCCAGCTCCTTTTTCCATTGCTGCTGCCAGGCTGGAGTTCCTTTCTGCTCCAGGACTTGTTCTCGGGCATTCAGTTTTCTCCTTCGCCTGCACAGATCAAAGTGCGGGAGAGCTCATCTATAGGCCAGGATTTGGGGTCAGCCGCGCTGCATGGGCACACAACTGGGGCCCATCTCTTATCTTCCAGGCATTGCTGTTTTCTCCCCCCAGGAGCTCTTCTTGAAGGGCTCCATCCCCGATTCAGAAAGGCAGGGGGAGGCAGCCCCGTACCCCTGCGCTGCCCCATGTAGGGCGGGAGGGGAAGAAGAGCCCAGGCTGGGGGGCAGGACAGTAGCTGGGGTGGCAGCGCGAGCAAACCTGTCGGGCGGGTAGAAACCTGCCGGCCTGGCCTGCCCCACGCGCCAGCCAAGCAGCGGCCCTGCTGAAGCAGGTCTCAGTATGGCACCAGGCCTACGAAACCCCCCAGCGCTGCCTGTCCCAGAGCAGGGCCCAGCGTGCGTGCGGGGAGCTGGGGCGAGCAGCCCCCCGGGAGAAGGGGGCTTCAGGGGACCACTTGTTCGGGAGCCCCCTAGCAAGCGACACACCAGCTGGCCACAGCCGGCCTCTCCCCCAGCCCCGCCGGAGAGATTACAGCATCTCGACATGTGCCACTCTGTGGTTAGAGCTCAGCCAGCGCCTTCCTGTGTGGGACGGCCTGGCGGGGTCTGGCCAGGCCTCCCCAAGCGTGGTTTTCATTAGCCTGTTTTCTTTGTCACACTGTGCGCTGCCCCTGCCTAGAAGAGGGGCTGTGGTGGGGGGGGGGAGGTTGCTTTATAAATCCAATTAGCCTTGTTATTCAAATTACCCTGCTTCTCTGCTGGCTGCAGCACGGCGCTGTGGTCTGAAGCCTCCGCACACAAAGAGCCTTGCCGGGCAGAGCGGCTTTTTTAACTGAAACCAGATCAGCTCCAGCAGGCTGCTCTGCACCAGGGGTTTGGCAGGGGGGTGGGCAGGCAGGGGTTAATCGCGACCTCTGGCATTGGGGAGCCTTTTAACCCTTTTGGGGGCTGCTCCCCACCCCAGAAACTGAGCCCCAGTGGCCTGAGCCATCCCACACCTGACAAAGCCACACAGCCTCCGGCCTCTTTGGGAATCTCCCGTGCGCCCTTCACGGGATGACTGGGGGGTGTAAGGCAGCGTGTGAGGGAATCCTGATCTGGATGGTGCGTGGAGGGCTGGCAGCCGGGCCCTGGATGCTTGGGGTGAAGAGCTGGCCTGGGGGGAAGGAAGGCCATGGTTGTACTGGTGCTCAAGTCCTGGGGGGTTCACCTGTGGCAGCAGCCGGTCCTTAGGAGAGTTTAAACGCCGTCTCTGCAGGAAGCCAGAGCACAGTGGGGCTGCGGTAGCAGGAGCGGCCCCTGAGGCCTCGGATTCGTGCCTCATCTTTGCCCCTCCTGGCTGAAGCGTGCCGTCCCGGGGCCAGGAGAGCGGTTCCACCTGCCCGGCTGCAGGCAGAGAGCTTGTGGTTCGGGGGCTAGCGCCAGCTCTGGCTGCACCGATGCGAACTGGTGCCCAGGCTGACACTGGGTCCGGCCCCCCGAGCTGAGCTGACACGGGAACGCCTAAACCGGATCTGTCAGCATTGACGAGACAATTCACCTCCAGCCCTGGAGAGAGCGAGACTGGGGTGTGTGTGTGCTCGCATGGGCCCACAAGGCAATTACTCAGTGTGCCGCAGCAACACCGGCGTGGGCTGGGGGGCTGGGGAAGCGATGAGAGAGTGGGAGGGGGGGTTCAGGGGTCGGCTGGAGAAATGCCACTTTCTCGAATGACCACAGCCACCCCGGGGGGGTGTAAGCTGCCTGCCGCGTGTGCCCCGAAGGCTCTGGCCCAGGGGACCAGCTCTGTTTGCAGTGGCTGTTTAGGATGGTTACAAGGTCGGTGTTTGGCTGCAACTCCAGGGCCAGCTTGGGGACTGGGTTCGGGCTTCAACTGATTTGAAATCGGGTCAGCGGACACGGGAGGCAGGGCAGCAGCAAAGGAGGACCCGTTCCTGCTTTGCTCTGAGAGCCTGGGGACAAGTTGCCAGGGTGGCTCATGGTTCGGGCCAGCCACTACTTTGATGCTTGCGGCTCTCACGTCGTCGGCTCCAGCAGGCCGCGGCATGGTCCGACCTGGCAGGAGGAGGCGGCCCTGGTGTGGGGTGCAGAGCTGAGACCCCACTTAGGGGGGAGATGGTTTCTCAGACAGTGTCGCCATGAGTCAGGAGGCTGGAGCTGCCTAGCAAAACGGTGCCCATTCAGCCAGCCGACCTCTGACCTTGGTGCCAATCCCCAAGTGGGCATCCTTTTGCTTGGAGAGCCAATGTCCCCAGAGGCTTGGGGCCAGGTCCAAAACCCAGTGGAGCCAAGAGGAAGACTCCGGCTGACTCTCGGGGGGTTGGATCAAGCCCTTGTTGATGCCCCGCTCCTTGTGCTGGTGCTGCTCTGTCTGTGGCCTGAGCAGCAGCAGCAGAGACGGGCTCAGTCTCAGCCCTTTGCAGTGAGCGCCTTGAAGGAAGTCCCAGGCTGCTCCCTTGCAAGTAGCCCACTGGGCTCAGTTGTGTGTTCGTCGCCTCGTGAGATGCTCCTGGGAGCTCTGGCAAGAGATGCTAAGTCTCTGGCCTGCAGGCCTGGCAGTGCCAAGTGCCCACAAAACACGATGACAGGAGCAGAGGAAGCCTCCATGGTTCCCCTCCCACCTCTCACAGCCCCCAGGGATGGAAATGTCCCTGTGAGAGCTTGCTGCAGGGGCAGCCAGGCCGAGGCAAGCGGGGCCTGATCCTGGCCTCCCAGTCCCAGCTTCAGCGCCAGGGCAAGGCCACCCGCTGCAGCCTGAGCGCAGAATCACGCCCGTCATGGTGGCTGCCTCCAAAGCTCCCCCCTCGGAAAAAGGTGGTTGTAAGAGGCCCAGAGTGTATTTCCACTGGGACTTCAATCATCTATCTGCAGCATCCAGCTCAGAGCTCGGGCAGGGGCTACCGCGTGACACCGGTTGTCACTGTGTGAACCCCATCGCTCTGGTTCCACCATCCTCGCTGACTGGAACAGCCAGCACAGACGGGACAGGTGAATAGAGGGACTTCCCTCGCTGCAGGCGCTGCTATCCGCGGCATGGGGCAGTCATTGCAAACGTGCAAAGCCCGGCAGGAACTGAAGGGTCCTGTGCTTTAGAGGTGCTGAGAACCAGCAGCTCTCACTTGGATCAATGGGGTCTGAGCATTTGCAGGGGATTTGACAGCTGAGTTCCCTCCATGCCGCTGCTCCTGGGTGGACCTGCCTGACTTCAGGCCTCCGCACTTGGAAGCTGTGATGGCAGCGCCTGGCCCAGCTCGCCCTGCCTGCTGTGTAGCTCACTGGTTTCTTTGAACTGGGACTTAACAAACGCTTTGCAGGGCTTTGAACTGGAGATCCCAGGGGGGCTCTGTGTCCTGTCATCTCCTTCCCAGCATTTACTGCTGGGAACGCATCTTTGTCTCAAGGAACTGGCTCCCTTAAGGGGAACTGCGCCAAGCCACGCCTGTGCCCAGTGGAGCCAAGTGGGGCAGGTGCTCTGAAATTAACCTGTAGGTCAGCACGTGCAGGGAGCGTGTTGGTTAGAGGGCAGAATGGTGCTGGCTTTGAGGTGCCCCAGGTAAGGGGCCATGGGGAGCAGGAGTCTGCTGTGGGGGCTGCAATGGCAGGAGAGCGGTGGGGCAGGCTGGCGGAGAAGCTGCTGCTGGATGTGGGGACCCCGCAGGACTTTTCAGACCCTGCTCCTACTTTAATAAAGCCAAAGGAGTGCGGACATAGGGGAGGAGGGAGCACTAGCCATGGGGTGTGTCTGGCAGCCTTGAGGCAGCGGCTGGGCTTGACCCCTGGCTACTGTTCCTTCCCCAAGGTCAGAAGTGGGGCGAAGGGCAGTGAGCGAGCCCTGTCTGCTGCTGCTGTGAGCCTCCCCCTGCCAGGCTCCATGCTTTGGGCTGGGGCTCCATCCTTGCTGCTAAGCCATCGCAGGTCTTCGGGCTGTTTGCCCTGGATACCTGCCCTCTGCCTGAGCAAGGGTCTGTCCTTCCTCTCCTGCAGCACATCTGTCTGCCCCGAGGGATGGGGGCTTGCTCTCCGTTGGCCTGTAGCAGACCCAAAACAGCATCCCCCCGCCACCCTGCCACCTTCCCCTCCCCAGTGCTGCCTTGCTCCTACATCCCCCACCTGAGT